TAAACTCTTGACAATATCAGTCAATGGCAATGCAAAACTCATCAATTTTCTCTAATAGGCTTTTATGCTTTTAAGTTGATACTAATTTTCCAACGTCTTACCTAAAGTCGTGTATATATGTAACCATGCTTTAATTTCAACTGAACGTGTTTACCATTTCAGATCCTAGTCTTCATTTGTATATTGGTTACCATCGCTAGCATAACACAATTTCGTAGGAGTCCTACACACATATACACCAATTATTCGATTTATAATATTACCGAGAGCAGTGTAAATTAGGCAAATTATCATTAAAGCAAATCAAAATACCTATTTTACTCAAAATAAAGCTTAACAGTAATTTCTCTCAAATATACAATATTTAGTAGAGAAACTAGATATCAATGAAATTCATACAGACATATCCAAATAAAATTCATATGAAAGCTGAACTCGCAATGTTTTACAGTGTTTAAAGAGTTATCAAAATTTATACTATGTTCAGACACATCCTAATTTCGCAAATATTTTAATTTCGTCTTCGTTTCAGCCAAATTACAAAATTCCATACAAAATTCAGTTTTAAGGTTAGAACGAAATTAAGGAAAATGGCCTTAACTTCATTAAAACGAAGGTTGAAATTAAGTGACATTTCAAATGCAACTATGCGTAAGACAAGTTTTAAGCAAAAGATGAAGTTAAAATAACAAAAAAGTGACTTTTTTTAAATAAATGTTAGTAAGTTATTAATGTTATTAATTTAAAATAGAGTGAAGTACAATAATTCACATACCTGAAATCCACTAAAGCTAATAAAACTACTGAATGCCATTCTTAATAGTTATAATAATCAACTTTTAAAATTTCCCAAATGTAAATGCTGTTTGGAACATATAAATTTTAAAATTCGAATGGTAAACAAAAACCATATTATTTTTTTAATTTAAGGCAGTATGAATACTTTCGAAATTAGCAATTTCATTTTTACGAAATTAGAAAAATTTAGCTGTCTGAACATAGTATTAACTATAATTAAAATTAAACACAAAGCTAGTTTCTCAACTCATAAGAGAGTGCAACAATAATTTTAACTTTAATATTTTAACATCTTAACACGAATTTACCATGATAACCAAGAACTATGAAATTAACATAAATTTGCGATTTACTACTAAAAAGTTTTTTGGTATCATACTTTACGAGTATAACACAACACTTTTTCGTTCTACAATTATTTGAACAACCCTGTCTTTAGTTATTATTTACACAAACTATACAAATATGATAACATATTAAATCAGCTGGAGTCAAGTTTACGAATCGTTCTTAAGAAAAAGTAAATAAAAACAATTTATAGTTTATGTGTAATAAAAATAGTATTAAAGAATAAATTAGATTAAAGCATAATAAATAAAATCAAAATGGGTAATCAGTTGGTTGGAATAGCACCATCACAAATATACCCTGTGGAGCACTACTTTTCGGGTACATTTGGTACAGAAATTGTGTTTGATTCAAAGTAAGAGAAATTAAAATTTTTCATTTTAATTTTAATAACTAAATTTATTTGTTCTTTAGTATGGGTAGCACACGTTTTTTCAAAGTAGCCAAAGCAAAAACAGAAGAAGGATTGATTGTTGTAAAAGTATTTGTGAAACATGATCCAACATTACCTTTAGAAGATTATAAAGAGAGAGTGGAATATATTAAAAAAACACTTGCTAATGCAGTAAATTGTTTGCCATTTCAGAGAGTTGAGGTTAGTTAAATTACTTGTATGCAATATATATATTAAAATTCAAGCCGATTTGTGTTCTTACTTTCACAGCTCACTGACAAAGCTGCATATATAATGAGAGAATTTGTGAAACATAGTTTATATGACCGCGTCTCCACACGCCCGTTTCTAACTGTTTTGGAAAAGAAATGGATTACATTCCAAATTTTATGTGCTTTAAACCAATGTCATAAACAGAAAATATGTCATGGTGATATTAAGGTAATATAATGAAACATTTAAAAATATATTCTTTTACGACTTTTGCTTTAACAGCTAGAAAATATATTGATAACATCATGGAATTGGATTTTATTATCCGATTTTGCTTCATTTAAGCCAACGTACTTACCGGAAGATAATCCAGCTGATTACACATACTTTTTTGATACAAGCCGTAGACGTACTTGTTACATTGCTCCAGAACGTTTCGTTAAAACGTTATCATCAGAAGATCCAGAAGGAAATGTTTCTATGTTTCCTACGGACTCAATATTACGTTTAGGTCCCTATTCTGGAACAACTGTTCTACCAGCTATGGATATATTCTCTGCTGGGTTTGTACACCATCTATATTGTAATTAATAAATATTAATTCATATGTTTGAATAATTTCTATTTAGTTGTGCATTGTTAGAATTATGGACTGAAGGTACCGCCCCCTTTGAATTATCTCAACTGTTAGCATATCGACGTGGTGAACGCGATTTAGTTGAAAAACATTTACAAGGCATCGATAATGAAAATTTGCGAAATTTATTAGCGTCAATGATTAATTTAGATTCAATAAATCGAAAAAGTGCCGAAGATTATTTGGCTGACGAACGTGGTCGTCTTTTTCCGGAATATTTCTATTCGTTTTTACAATCATATTTGCAAATATTTTCCTCTACGCCTATTATGTCTGCAGATGATAAAATCTTAACACTACATACCGATATGAACCACTGTATTAAGGTTTTGACAAATGCACAAAATGTGACGCCTGATGAAGAAACAATTGATGGATTTAAACAACTTGCCATAACTGAAAAGAAAGATGATTTATACTGCCTACGACTACCACCTGAACAAGATGGACTTATTTTAATTATAACTGTTGTCACCTCTTGTATACGTGGTCTGAAGCATTCAAACTCAAAAATTTGTTCGCTAGAAATATTACAAAAACTTTCAAAATACACAACATCGGAGACCATATTGGACCGCATCTTACCTTATATTGTAAGCGTATATAATTTTATTTCTGCTTATGGTTTTAAATTCATTTAAAAATTTTTTAACAGCTACACCTGGCACAACATTCTTCAGCTAAAGTACAGGTACAAGCTATTGAAACATTAACTGTTTGTTTAAGTATGGTCAAAGATATACCGCTCAATGATGCTAACGTATTTCCGGAATATATTTTACCTGCTATAGCTTCTTTATCCAGTGAGCCTAGCGCTGTTATTGTACGCGTTGCATTTGCACGAAATATTGGTAAAATTTATAATAAACAACAAACTTTTAAATATACTTGAAATTTAATTTAATTTTAGCAAAATTGGCAAAAATTGCTGTTTATTTTTTGGAAGAAACCCAACGAAATGCACCAAATGATATGGTTACCCAGAGATATGAAGCAGAAATTAATGCATTACACGATATCATACAGTTAACCGTTCTTAGTCTCCTAACAGATACAAAACCTGTAGTAAAACAAACCCTTATGGATTCAGGTATATGCGATTTATGTGCATTCTTCGGAAAAGAAAAAGGTAAGCGATACAAAACACTATGTCCATATCAACACTAAAATAACATTCATTTCTTTTCAAAATGAAGCAAACGATATAATACTCTCCCATATAATGACTTTTCTAAATGACGACGATAAAAATTTGCGTGGCGCTTTTTATGATAATATTGCTGGAGTTGCTGGCTATATTGGTTGGCAAGCATCAGATATATTAGTACCACTCTTACAGCAAGGATTTACGGACCGTGAAGAATTCGTTATAGCCAAAGCAATACGTGCTGTAACAATTTTAATTGAATTGGGTCACATTAAAAAGCCTACAGTGACAGATATTATAAAAGAACTTGCTTGTTATTTATGTCATCCAAACCTATGGATTCGTCATGAGATCAGTGGCATGATTTCGACAGCTGCACGTACCTTAAGTGCTATAGATGTGCAATGCAAAGTAATGCCAGCAATCAAACAGTTTTTAAAAACACCACTGATACAAGTTGAGAAACCCGATATACTGTTGGACTACGTACAACCAGCAATACCACGACAGATTTATGATAGTGTACTCAGGTAGGTTTAAGAAATTGCTATTAATTAATTATTTATATATAAATATATATATATTATATATTAATTATATATGCGTATGTACTATAACTACAGCGCACAGGGTTTGAATTCAAATCCCACTAAAGCGTAATTTATTATTATTTATTAAAAGTTTAAAACATAAACTCGCCTAACAGTCGGTACTGCGGCCAGAAGAGTCCTATTGTACCAATTTCACTATTGATTCCACAAAGCCCTTTAAAGCTTTGTGAACAAAGTCCAGAACTAAATCTAGAGAAGAGTTCTTAATCTGTTCTGTTCAAAAATTCCATATAAACAAGTTTCTTCTGTGCGTTATTAAAGCTGGACAGTCACAAAGAATATGCATGGTAATTTCCTCATCTTCGAAGCATAATCTGCATTCCGAATTAGCAGATAATTGTACTTTATGATGGTGATATTTCAAACCATAATGACCTGTAATGAAACCCGTTAACAACCTTAAAGCCTAGTTTAAAATGCTTCATAAAAATTATTCTATAAAAATTATTTGGTATCGCTTGAGGTCAATAGCTCTATGCGTGGCTATTCATCCAGCTTAAACTTAACTATTGTATATATGATGATTAATGGATATTTTTTAGGTTTCAGGATGTAAAAGCATTTATAAATGCTCTAGAGAATCGTGCAAAAGAACGACGTAATACTAGACCTGGACTGGCCCCACAGTATGCAGACATGGGACAGGTTTTAACAAATGTATGTTTGTTTTTTACATACATATTTATATTTTTATTAATTAAATTTTGTTCCGTATTAGCTATTTCGACGTTTAAGCTCTGAAGGTTTGAATGACATACTGGAAATGATATTGCTTGCTATGAAACCGTTCTTACTTAAGCTTAAACATAAGTCACAGCTGGATGTTGATGAGCCAGCCTCAGGCAATGGGCGCATAGTAATAAGTCGTAAAAAAGTGAATTGTCATGACTATCCGCTAGCAGAAAAAAAATCCAAATTACCTATAGAAACACGTAAATATTGCAAAAATGTTTAAGCATAAATCAAAGACATAACCGATGGTATTTCTCTAATTTTAGCATCGCCAGCATCTGATGGAAATGGTTCACCTATCGGTGGTATAGCTGGAAGTCCAGCATCTGGGGTGCTACTATTAGGCGGCCAACAAAACTTATTAAGTGCGGCAACATCTTTAGGGGAGTATACAATGCCTGAACGTAACTACTGGCAAGGTAAATAAATTTAATAAAATAATTTTTACAACACTGAAATACCTATTTTCTTCACGCTCTTTAGAACGCCCTTCAGAATGTCGAAAGGATCTTGAAGCAATGCGAAATAAAATCAAAACGCGCTATAGTTCCATTGCACAGCGAGGCAATTATGGTAAACAAAATTCTCCCTACCCGAATAACTGGCGCATGAATGGCACACTGATAGCACATTTACATGAACACTCTGAGTCAGTTATTAAACTGGCTGCACTTAAACCACATGGTCCGCTTTTCGCTAGTGGCAGCATAGATGGTACGGTACGTTTGTGGGATTGTAACAAACTAAATGGCAATCAAACCATAAACAAGTCACGACAAGTGTATTCTGCAAATACACCAATATATGCTTTAGCAGCCTGTGATGGTGGACAATCATTGGCAGTTGGTGGAAAAGATGGAAGTCTACTTATAATGCGTATCGATAGAAATTCTTCAAAGATGACCTTACAACAAGCACTCCATTTAAATCAAAAGTAACTCAAACAAATTTATACAGACAATTTGTTAATAAATTTTAATATTTGCAGTGAACACAGTGATGGCCCTGTAGTAGATATGGTATCCTATGATCACACGTCACCTAATATTATTATATATGCCACACTATACGGCGCTATTGTAGCTTGGGACACACGCATACAACAATGTGCTTGGCGTTTAGAAAATGAACTACGTCATGGAGTGATTACAACAATATGTGCTGACTCTACAGGTTCCTGGCTTGCTACTGGTACCAGTGGTGGCAAACATATATGCTGGGATTTACGTTTTAGATTAGCTATTGCAGAAATAAAACATCCCTCAGATTCTTGGATACGTAAAGTAGCTTGCCATCCTACAGAGCCTTCCTGCTTAATATCAGCTTCAAAATCTAATAATGAAGTTTCGATTTGGAATATAGAAACAAATCATAGACAAACTGTACTCTGGGCTAGTCCAGCACCTCCATTATCCAACACTAGTATGGTAAGATATTGTAAA